GCCAAGGCCAACTAACACTACAATAGAAAAGGGAGTAGCAACCAAGCCCACGGCCTAAGACCAAAGCAAAAGGCCCCGGGGGTTTGGAATCTATTCCCCACAAATGGATTAAAACTGGTCCACTAAAAAAGGCTAGCAACTGATCCAACAAGGGCCTTAACTAGCTTTAACTAGCCTTCAAAACACTATGGAAAGCAATAACAACTAAGAGAAAGATAACAACAACTATTTACGAAGAGCTTGGGAAACAGTTGGAGTCTCTGATCTCCAAACATTTGAAAACACCCATATATACTTATTTTAAAACATTAAATATGAACATGTTGGTTTGCTTCTCATTGACCTCTTTGTCGTCGTTCATCATTGTGCGTGTTGTTTGGTCATCATTATTATCATCGTCACGAGAATGACCTGGTTGGTTCGAACAACCCGCGGTTTGATCATCAACGCCCCGAGGATATCCAGTATGTGTAAATGAACTAGAGCCTGCTTGATGTGAATATGGGGCCTCGTGGGAAAATGCAGAACTACCAACACCAAAAGAACTAGGAAATACACCTTGGGACGCCATCATTTGCGTGAAACTTTGTTGCACCGTCTCCAGAATCCCTACATTTACTCGCTTCTCCAACTCCACGTAAATTTTGGGATTTCTTTGTTTTTCAATCATCTCTAAGATATCCCTCACTGGATTCTATTTTCATCTTCACAACTCGTTCTCTTCCATCAAATATTGCCCCACAATATGTACTCAAAATTACAAGGATCGACCTTCAATAATGCTTGAACACGAGAAACTACTTCATAATATATTTGTCGGCCGTAATTTATTCTCATCAGCTCTGCCACTCCACCAAGATATGAACCCCCGGAAAACGTACCACCATAGCTCACGCATACTCTAACACGGTTGCTAACCATTCAAATAAGTGAACAACGAAATGAATTAAAACGAAAGAAACATAAAAATGCAGTCAATGAATGGTGCAGACGTTGAATTGTTAGAGATCACTGTTTTTTTGTCTGCATGATAAATGCATAGACAAAATCCTCAATTAATGATGTGCGTAAGTTATGCGACAGATATCAAATCCCGAATAGCCGTAAAATTGCCATGTCGATATTGCCCTGCGAAAAAATGGCGCATAATCGTCAAATAAATTATGCTTTATTCGATTTGGTTATGCGATTCTTCAATATGCGAGCGAAAAAATGTCGCATAATTGTCAATTATCTGGCGGATATATGCGAAAGATTTTCGCATATTAGTAAATTATGCGATTGATTTGGATATGCAATTACCAGAAAATGCAAATTCAACAAATTATGCGAATTATATGTGAAATATTTTCGCTTAGTCATAAATTTACAACGTTGATATAGCCCTGCGAAAAAGAAGGTGTGATGTAGGGAAGCGTACGAGTGGGACGATAAATTGAGAACAGTCTCAAAATACCAAGAACAATATCAATTTTTATTCATTAATTAACCATCTATCAAAGTCACGGGGTTGAACAATATATAATAATCCTAATGTTAGTCTCCTAAACTTGTCCAACAAGCTAGATAATTATTTACTTGTCCACTAAGCAAGTAATTATTCTCTTACCAATTAACTACTAATCATAAAAGGAATAATAATAATAATAATAATAATAATAATAATAATAATAATAATAATAATCATTCTCTATCATCCTCCCCCGGTTGAGGAGGATTCGCCCTCGAATCCGAGACGAAGAGACCAAACCGTTTCCTTGCCGTTGCATCCAATACGGCGCCTTGACCATCCCGTCAAACCCACAGGAGCCGCACCAAAAAAAGCCACGATTCGGGCCATATCCTTTGTAAAATTGAATGTA